GCTCCGTATATTTATGGGAGCAACACCCACTACAAAGCGGGTCCAACATCCCTGTGCATGATAGTTGTTTTTTATTAGACATATACTTGTGATGGAAGCCATCTGCAGGGCTCATCTACAGGGTATGAAATTTGGCAGGTAGCACTACACAATAGGCTGAGTTGCTTGCCTACATACCAACCTACATTAAGCCTAAATTAAGTGGTAGTATATACAAATCTCACGGTTGCTGCTGTGGGAATTGAAACCAGATTCTTATTTTTTTTAAAAAGTTTTTTGCTTTACCTCATTCCTCCAGCAAACAACCCTTTGATGACAAAGTTGTTTGTTTGAAAAAACATGTAGTGTTCACTACTTTTTGGTTTCGTGGGCCGTAGCCTTTGTCTTACTATCTTCGGGGCTCTCTCTTTCCCAAAAGTTTACAGGTGTTACCCTTCCTATTATAAAGCTCCTCTTTTTCTATATCCCAACCCTTATTAATAAAGTAGCTCAGTACCATTTCCTGTCCTATATCTCCCTCTACCCTTTCAGCTCGGTTTGATTTCAAGTGTTTGCAACCCTTCCCTCCGCTTATGAACGGTTCTCCCCCAGGGGAGACACATGTCGACAAAGGCGGGAATTTCAAGGAGAATATTTTTTGAACCACGGACCTCGAGTCAACTGTTGTCCTACCCGAGGCCTGCTGCTCACCTTACCCCCCAAAGCCTACTTTTTGGAAGTTCCTTTTTTTCCTGTATATATATTATGAATACTAAAGTCCCATCTCCCTTCTCGAACGATGAAAGGGAACGAAGTATAGAAGACCATGCATAGCGACACACAAACAGATTTGCAACCCCCAGTCTTGTTTCAAGCGTTGATTACTTTTTCTTTTGGGAAAGGATTGACCTTTTGCAGAGTGGCGGGTGTACTGGAGCTGAGAGTCATAGGGATTAACTTTCTTCCTCAGGTCCAGTGCCCCTTGTTCTTGAACTATTATCAACCCACCTAGGGGCCGACCTTCTCTCTTTTCAACTCATCTCTCCTTCAACGGTGTTTTGAACTGTGGTCATAGCGGTCGTCTGCCCGTCTCTTGACATAGTTACAGTAGGTTATGCGGTCCTTTCCTTTCGGTCCCCTTTCGGGGTGGTCGTTGATGGCAGTTTTGGAACCTCATTCCCGTTCTGATGTTGGATTCGTGGCGTCTGCATTTCAGTCGATTCGCCTGGCCAGGTCTTGACTAAGGCAGATGCAACAAATCGATTGACAAGATTGGGCTCTGAGAGTTGGACAGTGGTGGGGGTGTTGTTGGAGGGGGCTTCCTCCGGAGTAGTGGGGTCGCTTCCGACGAGCATGAGGAGAGGGGGGGAGATGTGACGCGCAACCTTACACCCTGTGTTGTCTTCCGTTCGGAGTGCTAGATGTGCGGAAAGAGGCCCAAAAAAACAGCAAGATGGGGTGTGCCAAGGATTTTTGGGAAATTGAGTGTGGGGACACAGACGGAACTGAAATCCCCCGTGTTGGTCCGATGAAGTAAGTCGGTTGCTTTCGCGCGTCGCAGAATGCGCGAGCAGGCATGGCGTGAAAAGAGAAAAATCCAAATTCAATCCAAAAAGTATTGTCGGGCTTCCCACCACACTACGGTCCGTCGTTTAGAGCGGAAGGGCTTCGGCACGCTTCGCGTGTCTCGTTTTCGGATCAAATCCCGTCGCTCGCTGGTCAGTTCTGAGTCCGATGTGGAGGGTCGCAGACACGTGGCTCTTTCCTTATGCTCGTCCTCACTCCGTATTCGGTAGTGGAAGCCCTTTGCTTCGTAGCGATCGAAACGCTGGGACTCTGTGCACAGAGTCCGAGGCCAATGGGGCGCCACTGCCGTCCACGGAATGACGATCAGCTCGTTAAAGGGGAGCAATATTGAGTAGGGTGGGAAGTGCGTGTCGATAATAACGAACCCAACCTCTACGAACCTTGAACAACGGTTTGCCAGAGGGAAGTAGTATCACCCACCGATCTGTGCGACAACTTCTCGTACGTCCCACTCGCATACACGTGTCCTTTCCTCGTTGTAAGGAAAAGGCCGTGTTGATATTGGAGGTACGGGAGGCTGACGCCCGATCGGAGGGTACTTGTCAGTCCACATATCAATCAATTGCAAAAACCTCGAGACGTCATCAAGAAAACAGGACACTCATGCAACCCCCAATCAATCTTTTTCTACACGAGAGAGAGAGAGAAAACACTCATCAGCTTGATCATGCATGTAACTAACGGATCGGCCCGCGACTCGGGTTCAGTGAGCCAACACGACGTTGATCTGAGGCGCCTTGTTTCTAAAGGCTGCCCTGTGGCTCGGGTGCAGAGGTCGTGCAGCATAAGGCAGATGGCATGCGCAGTACATACAGAGCTACAGATCTAAACACTCTTGCATTCTCGGACAAAATCCCAACAACAATCGTCTAATCAACTCCGAAAAAGAACGCATACCTCCATACACACATTCACTGTGGAAGGTGCGAAAATGAGATATGCACAGAGATAAAAGATGGATCGCTGAATAATACACACGCATCCACCGTTCACAAGACAAGAAGGCGGGGTTCCTGCATAGGGTGATTATCCAGAAAACTAATGGAAGAGTTCCGGAAGAAGTTCTTTCACACAGTAACAGCATCAAGACTCATTTCCATTTGAAAGAGAGAGAGAGAGAAAAACACTTCATCATTCGGAGCTAGAGGAGAGAAAGGGAGATACAAGGGGACGAAATCCAAAAAGAGGATATTAGGCGTTGCCGCCGCACACTCACACCAGAGATAAAGATCCGCAATCAACAAAGGCGCATTCGCCGTTAATTCCAATCATGGTCCCAGGCCAATCACTCACTCGACTCCAATCATCGATCATTATACCCACACCGACGATCCCGGCCGTCGCGTGCCAACTCCCACCACTGCAATCGTCACCCCGCTGACGTAAACTCGACGCAGTTCGCCCCGATTCCACAGTCCGTCGTGGCGATCAAGCGCGCAACCGACCAGCCTATCGTCAGCCCGACAGGACTTTCCGACTCGCACCAAACACTCTGCCTAGCCACTGCTTCCCGGAAGCTGGCTTGAGAGTCGAGAACGTAAAAGAGATTTGCGGTCGCGCTTGCAGAATTTATAGCAACGAGGAGGAAGCCAAGGGAGGGAGAATGCAGGGTGAAAGTCGAAGTGTAAGAGGAGAAGCAGGAGGAGAAGACTTTGAGAGGAGCGCTTCGCGGAAGCCATGTTGATGCTTCGAAACTCCAGATTAACCAATCAGACTCGTCGCGCGATAGGGAGATCCTACCGTACCCCGCGCCTGATTGGTGGGCAAGAGTAATCGAAAGATCGACCGGACTTCACGAGTTTTGCTTGGAGAGAAGAAAAGGCGCGAGAAGTAGCGCAAGATGGGTCCAAGATTCAGATGATCAAGAAAGTGGAAATGGGCGCGCAAAGAACCGAGCGGGAGAGAGAAAGGGAGGGAGAAAAACAGTTACGAAGAGAGAGGGGGGGGGGGGGGGGGGGGGGGGGAAGGAAAAAGGAGTGCGGGAGAGGGCGAGGTGGGGAACAGAGAGGAGAAAACTTTTGCATGTGTGGCGCCGTCAACAAAGAAAAACAAAGGAAAAAGGCACCGAAACAGTTACAGCTCGCCTACGTCCTAAACCAATTCAAAATTGAAATCACCATATCCGGGCGCGAAAGAGCGACGCGGGAAAAGAAAGTCCTACGCCTATTTGTATCCTCACAAAATTCCGAGAGTTTTCCCCAACGTGACCGAAAACATTCACACACAAAAATGACACGTCGAAGTTCCGCCTATCCCGGAATTCCCAACTGTCCGGCCCAATTCCCAGCGCGCTCGCTAAGGCGCGTGTGATTTCCTATGCCTTTCCAGACGTGCAAAAAGGAAAGAAAGCAAAACCGAAGAATCACAAAAAGTTTCCGGAAGATGGGGGCCAAAAACGCGGCACCCGAGATCAAGAAACGAAACGGGGTTTTTCGGGGGTCGGTATGATACAAGCAAAAGAAAGGGTACGAAAGATAGCACGGGTTCGGGAAGTAGTTCGTCACATATGTGACGCGCAGGGGGTTCCAAAATTATGCGATCTCCTGATTGCATGTTATGGCGGCGAAGGAGAGATGGGGAGAGAGAACAGAGTGATGCATGAGGAACCAAGTGTCTCAACACACGATCTAGCCAGAGCCCATGTTCACGCCATCTTCAATTGCTATTATGCTGCTAGAATCATCGATGGTCGTCCAGGTGACGCCATCATCGTCTGTCGCTTCTCCGTGTGCTCCGCACCCCAGTCATCGCTGCTCGTTGAATCAGAGCGTAGGCTGACGTCATCGTCGATGGCGTGATCTTCGCGAAGCT